TTTTGATCCAATATATGCCTTTTTAATTAATAGATCAATATGTAGACATTTTTTTCAAAAATTAAACACATTTAATCATTCAGTCGGTTCTCGACTTAATATTTCCGCATTTAAAATCAAATCAAGTTAAAATATGTTAAATTTATTTTAATTAATACACTTTGAGATCTAATAACTGAAAACTAATAGCTTGTGAAACAAATAAAACAGCGTGTATATATACACTCATGGACAAAACTTAAGGAATTTGTACCTTTTAGCATGTATATCGGGATTCAGACAATAACTGTAAAAGATATTTGATACACATTGACCTTTATTGAAGACACGCGGAATAACCTCTGTCTCATTCAAAAAAAAAAAAAAAAAAAACAGACGACCGGCGATATCAAAGACTTTCCACTTCCTTAAGTTTTGTCCATGAGTGTATTTTTTAAAACTTGAGGTAATTCATTTATATAGTTTTTATATCAAAACAGTATATTCCGCAAAATTGAAAAAAAAATTCAAACAGATTTACCTTTTACGTTTAGTTCTTTAATTGCATCAAGAAGGGGGGAAATGAGCTAGCAGAAATCCCCTAATTCTCCACCAAGGTACTGAATGATTGGCGCGTACAGTCCATGATACATGTAGTTCAAAGAGTTTCTCCAAAAGCTTCTCTTTTTCGAGGCAATGAAATAAATTGAGGCACAAATGGAAATTAAAATGTTAATTAGTAATATCTCACGATATTTATGGAAATTATCAAAATCTACCAGGATATGGGAATCTCCACGACTATTCTATGGAATATTTAGGTGTCCATAGAGTCAAGGAAGCAGTGGGCGTCTACAGTAGTTGTCAACACTGTAGACGTCATTGATTGGCACCGCCGTGTCTGACGCCCCCATCCGTTCCAAGGCGAACAATTCTTCTGCTGTCTTATTGGATCTACGAAGATGTATACTAGCAGAGTATAACGACCTATCCATCTACAGAGTCTGTGCGTAGTGGTAAGCTGTCAGGTTGATGTGGCAAAATGAACCCAGCACCACTACATCTAGCCTCTGTATACCTAGATATAGACTATAGATACAGTACTATGTGGAAAACTAGTACAAATGTGAAATTATACTGGGATAAGGTGGATAAATTAAACATCAAGAATGGGGTATTTGGCCAATTCTGGAATAATTAAAAATCAACGAATAGTTGATTTTTATTCCGATATATGGCGCAAGCCATCAGTAACTTTCAGTTGCACGATTAGGAGATGTCTAAGATACTGTTTTTAATTAATTTATTTGTTAATCAACCAGGCGCGATATTGAAATATTTTCGCCTAATACAGAGGAATCAAAACATCACACAAACAAATTAGAACTTAGAATTAAGATACAGTACTGTTAAACTTACCTCCCATGTATACCCCATAGCCCGGAGGATTGAAGATTTGTAGCACCTAAAACAGCCATCTTAGCTATCACAGCACTTACACCTAAAGCCACTGACTGCTACTATCCCATCTAGAAAAATATTCACATTTCTATTTAAATATAGAAATTATATTTTGTACATTTTATCAGCCGAAATAACGGCTATTTTAAAATATAAAGTAATACTTAAAGCCTCCCCGCATAAGTTTCTTTTTTGTGAAAAATCAATATTAATTTCAAAGAGAAATATGTACTATTTCTAACTTGTTGGATGACGTATGAAAAGGTTGAATATATGAAGAGTAATGGTCTATATATGATTGGATGACGTATGAAGGGTGAAAATGTGAAGAGTAATGGCGAACGGAAAAATAAAAGTGTCCAGGGGCGGGAATCGAACCCACAACCTTCTGCTTACCGGGCAGGTGCCATGTCCACTAGGCTTTAAGGTTGTGGGTTCTATTCCCGCCTCTGGACACTTTTATTTTTCCGTTCGCCATTACTCTTCACATTTTCACCCTTTCATATGTCATCCAATCATATATAGACCATTACTCTTCATATATTCAACCTTTTCATACGTCATCCAAAAAGTTAGAAATAGTACATATTTCTCTTTGAAATTAATATTGATTTTTCACAAAAAAGAAACTTATGCGGGGAGGCTTTAAGTATTACTTTATAATCATACGCCGCAGTCCTTTATAATTTTAAAATATATTATTATTTGTTATTATAATCAAAACCAGGCGCGATATTGAAATATTTGCGCCTATTACAGAGAGAGAGAGAGAGAGAGTACACAAACAAAAACAACAAATTAGAATTTAGAATTGAATATTTACAAATTTACATGTATTATTCGACAGAGTTCATAAAATGTATATAGACAAAGTGGCTGATGTAAGAGAGTTAAATCATTTAGATCAGGGAACAATCGATGTCTCCTTTTGTGTTAACTTGTAGAAGGCATGACAACTCGCAAATCCCTAACTTTGTTTTCCAGCAAAACTGAAACCAAACATTTCTGATGCAACCTGCGTCCTTTCCTCAGCCGTGCCGTTTCCTGTGTGGCGCGCTAGCTAAAAGAATATTGAGATATAAACACATTGGATTATTACACTATATATATTTAGATAAAAAGGCATATATTGTGGATTGATTAAAAATATTTATTTGCCAATATTTCGGTTGGCTGAACGCCAACCTTTGTCAAGACATTACAACGTATTATTTTGTATAATTTTTTTGTAGAACGTAATTATACCTTGACAAAGGTTGGCGTTCAGCCAACCGAAATATTGGAAAATAAATCTTTTTATTCCATCCAATATATGTATTTTTATTATTTAAATATATATAAATATGGATTGTTCTGTTTTCAGAACACTACATATATGAAAAGATAAAAGTAATGTAAATATTTTAAACACACATTCTTAATAGATTCGAATATTCATACATAGAAGGTAAAAATATTATTTCCAAGTATAAATACCTTCATTAAGACATATATACAGCAATTCTCCTGAACGATACAAAGAAAAATGGAACGAAATATTTTTAAAAGTACACACTCATGGACAAAACTTAAGGAAGTTGTACCTTTTAGCATGTATATCGGGATTTAGACAATAACTCTGAAAGATATTATAGTGACCTTTATTGAAGACACACGAGATAACCAATATACACTCATGGACAAAACTTAAGGAAGTTGTATCTTTTAGCATGTATATCGGGATTTAGACAATAACTCTGAAAGATATTATAGTGACCTTTATTGAAGACACACGAGATAACCAATATACACTCATAGACAAAACTTAAGGAAGTTGTACCTTTTAGCATTCTATCGGGATTTAGACAATAACTCTGAAAGATATTATAGTGACCTTTATTGAAGACACACGAGATAACCAATATACACTCATGGACAAAACTTAAGGAAGTTGTATCTTTTAGCATGTATATCGGGATTCAGACATAAACTCTGGAAGATATTACAGTGACCTTTATTGAAAACACACGAGATAACCAAAGTGGGAACAAAATTGCCACTTCCTCCTTTAAAAAAATGACGACCGGCACATTAAAGACTATCCACTTACTAAATTTCTGTCCATGAGTGTATACACTCACAGACGTTTGTTAAATAACATCAAATTTGCTAAACTGAACTTATATGTTCACATTTAGACGTGATGGGATGGAGAGCTGTCTGGGGAATAGTTAGATAGTGTCGTACTGTGTGGAACTGGTTCAACGGAGGGTCCATAGACCAATTCTCTAACTAGAGAAACTACAAAACACCAGTTTAATTAGACAATCTAGAACAAACGAAGAACAGAGAAAGACATCTGATCGTACAACTAAAAGTTGTTGATGGTTATCGCCATCTTTTGGAATAAATATTTATAGCAGAGTATTTATTATTCAATGAAAATATTTTTTTATATTTCGATATTTGTATTTTGATACACTGTGGAATTTTTCTCGTTGCCTTTCTGATATTTTATTAGTTTTAATTTGGTTTGATATTAAATAAATTGTCGCGTAATTCTAAGGTTTGTCTAATTTTCTATGTTACTATGCTTCAATATCAACTAATCAACTTTGTCGGTATTCCGATATATGGTGCAAGCTATCAGTAGATTTCAGTTACACGATCATGTCTTCCTCTCTTTATTGATCAACCTAATCCCAGTACAATTCCACTTTTGTAACATTTTTTCATAAAGAAATAACAGTTGTACCGGCCCCAACAACTCTATTCTTTATTGAGAATTCATATATTAAGTAAAAGTGTTTTAAAAGTTCTTCAAAAATTAATACAAAATTATTATAATAAGTGTATTTTTGTAAGATTATAAACTCAAAAGAAGCTTATTCTATAAAACATGTTTATTTCGCTAGCCTTCGAACGACATCGTTCTTCAACGGGCGTAAAGACAAGATCTTACAATATATAGTTATGATTATTGAACGTTGATGTCTACATCTTAAGTGCATTTTTTTATTGGAAAAATCGAACTTTCGAGCTACAACGCTTTTCTACTGACTTAACAATGTCAAATGGAGAAATTACAGACTATTTGTGAAAAACAAATTTTCACCTGCACACGCCCGAGCTTTTGCATAACGAAATGAAAACTTTAAATCCTTTTAAAACACTCAATTATACCATGTGTACTTACGCCTTTGCCGGTCCCAAGCCCGGATGAAAAAGGAGGAGGGGGAGCAGTAACAAGCTGGGGCTCAAAAATCATTTTATTTTGGCTAGCAGCCCCGTAAATAAAGATATTTCCGTGTCACGTAGAGAAATGAGACAAATGTTAAGGCGAAAACATCAGGTTTCCAGGGTTTATTCGTAGTTTTATACGTGCTTGGATATGCAAGATCTTTCATTAAGTCGAACTGTATTCTGGTGTTTCTGTGTTGAGAAGGAAATGAAGAGTAGCGAGGGAAAATAGTTATAAGATTTGAAACTTGGTTCTTTACAAAAATATATCAAAATTCGAAACTATTATAGACGCGTATGATTCTTTTTTTTTTATTTAAAAAAAATAATCATACGCGTCTATAATAGTTTCGAATTTTGATAACAGATGGCGCACTAATACATCATAACAAAAAAAAAATATATTTTTTTTTATGCACACTTTTTCTGGCAATGTAAAAGATTTAAATATCAGGTAAAATTTCTATACACTAAAAGGTTACCTGTTTGTTCTTCTTGATCATTTGTTCTTCTTTTTCTTTTTCATCAAACATATTAAGAATACAGTGGTACCTCGACATACGAGTTTAATTCGTTCCGCAACCTTGCTCGTATCTTGAATTACTCGTATCTCGAAGCAAATTTCCCCATACAAAACAATTGAACTACCATTAATCCGTTCCAACCTCCAAAATGTCACCCCAGTTATTTTTGTTACGTGGTTTTAAATAATAAAAACGTATTTATAAATATCAAATATTTATCGCACAAAAACAAAAAAGAGAATGTAAAGAAATAAATTAGATATCCTCACTGGTCTTTGCCTTTTTCGCTACATTTTTCTCGCTTTCACCTGTTTCAATACTCATCATCTTTTTCTTAGCACTTGACTTTTTACAAACTTTCTTCCGATCCATGGTTATAAAAATAAATGAACTAAAACTGTAAATGTAAACGCAACACAAAACGCGAACACAAAACACAACTTATCACAGCGAAAGCACGCTGCTAACTGATCGTGATGGCGCGACTGCGTGTTACTACCTGTTGTGTTTTAACTTTAAAAGCACACAAAAATATAATAAACTTGAATTTGTTTATTCAATTCTCAAAAAACAAAGCTTTGCATATAGAACAAATAATAATGAAGCAGAAGAAAGAAACATTTTAGGAAAAGCAAAAAAAAAAAAAAGGACTGGTCAAAAAGAAACATTTAAAATCACAGATTAATATCTTCAACACTACCGAACTCGTATCTCGAATTTCGCTCGTAACTAAAAGCAAAAAATCACTTGCTCGTCGGCTTGTATCTCGAAAAACTCGTATGTTGAGGCGCTCGTATGTCGAGGTACCACTGTATATATAATTTAGATTATTTATATATTGTCCTAGATATTCTGCGAATTATTTTTCCGTTTATACATGTGATGCTAAGCATATTTCTTTATAAATATTTTATTCTATATAATTATTATATTTCGAGTGTATTAAACATTTTCATACAATATTTTTCGAATATTATTTAACTTTCTTAAACAAAGCTTCCAATAGTTTTTTTTTTTTTTTTTGTAATTCGTAGAAAGAATCAATTAAGCTTTGATATTCTTGATTCATTTGATATTTATGATTTTTAAATAGTATTAATCAATTATTAAATATATTACGTGGAATTCAAAAGAAATAATACCAATAGATGTTAAAATATATTTGTTTTCTAAATTTTTGATATTGTGGCGAAGAAATATTTTATTATTTAATTTAATATTATTCAATGAAAATATATTCAACAGATTATAAAAATATATATTAATCTGTTTTTGTGAAATCATCTTAAAATATTTCTTTGCTTACTTGCTTAAGATTCTCTAGCGGTATATAGTTGGGCTGACTTGTTAATAATTGTCGACTCGTCGCTGTGACGTCATCAATAAATACTTTTACATCTTAGGATATTTCAAGACTTGAATTCTACGCTACAACTGGTGAAGAAGCTGGATCGATACCCATTCAGAAAAAAACGGAAAATTGACTCGGTTGAGCAAGAAGAAAAAACCATGAACATCAAGAAAGAAGCAACTACTCAGGTGGGTTCATTTTTTGTCCAACATCTACCTAGAAACCCCTCAATGTTCTCTGGTGAGGGTGTTGAAGATCCCCGTAGCTGGTTAAAAGGGTATGAACGTGTGGCGAAGCACAACCAATGGGATGAAACCCTTTGTCTCGCTAACGTT